TGAGTAGGGATGGATAATTTTTTAATCAAATTCATGCTGATCAAATTTTGCTCAGCACCTGAGTCTACCATCGCTGAAATGGGGAGATTATCTTGTGCAGTCTGTATTATAGTTCTTAAAGTGAGTCTACAAGTGGGAGAGGAATTGGAATTACCCACCAGTATTTCTCTCTTTACTAGTGGGTGCTTTTGTTTCCCCGAAACGGGCAATTGTGCAAATAATGTCCTGAATTTTCACAGTATATGCATAAGTTAGAATTTCTGCACCTCTGGCTCTCCTTTGGAGATAGACGAGCACGTCCCACCTGCATTGGCTCTGGCTCTGGTAATGCAGGCAGGCGAGCCGCTGGTTCAATAGGTGAAGACGGCAACCCAGAAACAAAGTCTCTCTGGGGCTTGTAGTTTAATGGAGCGTATTTGTAGGCGTTGTGCTCACCTGCCGCTGTCATGAACCCGGAAGTAGGGGGCCTCTGGTAGTTATAGTTCCTCTCATGTAGACGTTCCCGGAAGCGTTCGTCGAGGCAAATAGCGAGGTTTATGAGGTCATCCAAGCTGCTAGGGTTCATCGCGGTAAGTGATCTGGCATTTAATGTGATCTGACAAGGAATGTAGGAATGTACCTTGTAATGAATGCTCATTCTAGCCAGTCTGGGCAGTGATGATGCAGAACTCGAGGGCGTGTTCTGATACTGGTCGTCGACCCTGGCGTAACCCCAGAAGTCGCTTTACAGCGTTGGATTGTTGCATTGTCCCGTCGAATATTCTGCAAAATTCTCTCAAGAAAACATCATATGGAACAGAGTCCAGATCGTGAGATAGTAGGAAGGAGTTGGCCCACCTTAGTGCTTCGCCCTTCAGTTGGCTGACAAAGTAAGTGATCTTAGAAACGCTGGATGTGTACAATTGGGGAGCTCCCTTAAAGGCTAACTTACATTGAAGAAGAAAACCTCCACAATACTCAGGGTCTCCAGAAAATAACTCAGAGGGTTTTACCACCAATTTCTAAGCCGTGGGATTGCTCTCAGGGATAAGGGTGGTAGCACCAGACTCCTGGGGAATAACAGGTGCTGCAGAGGATGAAAGTTTTTGATTGATTGAGAATACCATGCCTCCTAATTCTTTCATGTTAGACTGAGTGGTTTGTTGTTACAACAAGAGGCATTCAAGCATTCTTTCTAATTTGTCAATTCGAATCTGTCCTGTTGTACTGAGCAGTTTTTCAATAAGGCCATGGGTGGCGTGTATCTTCTGGCTGTCTCTCTTGCGGTGGAATACATTTTGGGTGTGTTAGCGGTGCTGCGGGTGCACCCAGCTCATTGACAAATATACTAGAATATATGTCACTGGCCCAGCTCTTCTTGAAGGAGGGTCTAACGTTACCTGCCCACTTTACAGTGATTCAATGGACCAGCTCCCCTCTCACCATTGGTTACTTTCAAAGTAACAAACAAATCAAAAAGCTGCAACATGAATGTAACTTGTAATGCAACGCATTATAGAAATGTAGTGTAGTAGAAAGTACAGATACTTGATGTAAAATGTAGTGGAGTAAAAGTATAAAGTACCCACATTTAACTCTACTTAAGTAAAGTACAGATACATGGAAAATGTACTTAAGTGCAGTAACGAAGTATTTGTACTTAGTTACATCCCACCACTGCTGACCTGCAACTATTTTCTCTAGAATTTTTGAGATGAAAGTTAGATTAGATATAGGTCTATAGTTGGCCAGAATTTCTGAATCAAGATCAGATTTCTTAAGTAAAGGTTTACTTACAGCAACCTTAAAGCTCTGTGGTACATAACCATCCATTAAAGACAAATTAAGTAGATCCAAAATGTGGACATTAATTAGGGGAAATACCTCTTTAAACAGTCTGGTTGGGATGGGATCTAGCAGACATGTGGATGGTTTGGATGAGGTTATTATTTTTGACAATTCAGAGAGCTCAACAGGACAAAAACTGTCCAAACATAAATCAGGCTCTAGTGAAATTTTTAAAGTTGCCTCATTTGACAGGGGACTAGAGATAGTAGAAGGAAGGAAGGTTTGAAATTTCTCTCTGAAATCTAAAAAAGTTAAATCTGGTCCTCTGGACATTCAAAAAAAACAAAAACAAAGCAAAACAACAAAAAAAATGTAGAAATGTTTCGTCTCTCATCCGAAAGACTTCCTCAGTCTGAGGCGCTGTATTCAGCTCAGTCTCTTAAATAGCACCTTCTCAGAGTGGATCAACCAGTTTTGCTGCTGACTGTCAGGATTTTCTAGGCAGGAGCGAACCCAGTAGTGCAGACAGGGACTCAACTCAGCAGAATACAAAAATAGGTATTTAATGATAAACAAAGATACAAAATAACAGGCTGACGGGGCAGCAAAACTTACATGAACAGGAAGATAAGGCACGGGAAACTCACGAGGACTCAGGAGGACTCAGGGGTCTCGGAAGACTCAGGGGACTCGGAAGACTCAGGGAACTCGGAAGACTCAGGGGAACACAGGAGACCCAACGAGTACGATGCGACAACGAACAAGACTGACAGACGGCTTATATACAGGGACAAGACAAGACGTGATTACGAACAGCTGGGACGAGACAAGGGTGGCACTAATTGAACTAACGAGAGAGCACTAGGGAACACAGACACAAACCGGGCCACAAAAAGGTACCATCCTTACACTGACAACCAAAACCAGCTGATCACATGCTCAAGAAGGACCATCAGCCTAACAATGGATCATTAGCACACTGATGGCTGTTTACTATTCACAGAGGGCTGAGTGATACTAGCAATCACAGCATTGTAAGAGGGGGACAATTGAACACGTAGGCCTCCACCCCTGTTTAATGATGGACGATTTATTTTCTTTTTGTGAAAAGAAATCGTTGATCCACTCTGAGAAGGTGCTATTTAAGAGACTGAGCTGAATACAGCACCTCAGACTGAGGAAGTCTCTCGGATGAGAGACGAAACGTTTCTACATTTTTTTGTTGTTTTGCTTTGTTTTGTTTCTTTGAATGTCCAGAGGACCAGATTTAACTTTTTTAGATTTTTCTACCTGGATTATTGAGCATGCATCAGGATATTCTCTCTAAAATAATTTTATTTATAAAGAATCTCATGAAGTCATCACTACTTATAGTTGTAGGGATACATGGTTCAACAGAAATGGGACTTTTAATTAGTCTAGCAATAGTACTAAACAGAAACCTAGGGTTATTTTTATTCTCCTCTATTAAAGATGAGTAATATAAAGTTCTAGCTTTACGGAGAGCTTTTTTATATGTTAGCAGACTATCTTTCCAAGTTAAATACAATTCTTCAACATTAGTAGAGTGCCATTTTCTCTCCTGGTTTCTAGAAGCCTGCTTTAAAGTACGTAACTCAGAATTGAACCAAGGAGCCAGTTTCCTCTGATTTCTTTCAGCTGAAAGAAAACTACAAAATAGCTGCGCCCATTTTTTCTTTTCTTTTTTTGTTTGTTTCATTTTTGGTTATTGGTCGGTTCCTGCTCCTGCCTGCTCCTTTTAGCTTTCAGTCCGGTCACGTGAGCTATAATAAGGTTGACTCCGGTCCCGCCGGAACCCTGCCGGAATCACGTGACCCGCAGTACTCCCGAAGAAATGTCATCCTCTAATACACAGTCAGCTGAAGGCTTTTTCACAAACAGAGACATCTAAAAGTTGAAATGCATATCAGTCAGAAATGGCAAATAGGCATTAGATAATGGCTTAATGCCTACCTGCAGCCAGTCTGGTTGTGTCACTGCACAGGTCTGGTCCCGGACAAAAAACAAAACAAGAACAAATGTACACGATCGGTACTGATGGGTACAGCTCACGTTCGACGTGTCCCAGGCACCAATATCTGTGCTCAGAATCTTCCTATTCTCTTGTAACTTTGCGGAATAACTGAGCATGTGCCATTTTTAATGAGAGTCTATAGATGTGTCCCAATCCAGCGGCTGCATCCTTCGAAGGACCCGGTCGACGTACTTTGTAGATAATCAGACAGGTAGATAACGAGACAGGTAGATAATCAGACAGGTAGATAATCAGACAGGTAGATAACCAGACAGGTAGATAATCAGACAGGCAGATAATCAGACAGGTAGATAATCAGACAGGTAGATAATCAGACAGGTAGATAATCAGACAGGTAGATAACCAGACAGGTAGATAATCAGACAGGTAGATAACCAGACAGGTAGATAATCAGACAGGTAGATAATCAGACAGGCAGATAATCAGACGGGCAGATAATCAGACGGGTAGATAATCAGACAGGTAGATAACCAGACAGGTTGATAATCAGACAGGTAGATAACCAGACAGGTAGATAACCAGACAGGTTGATAATCAGACAGGCAGATAACCAGACAGGTTGATAATCAGACAGGTTGATAATCAGACAGGTAGATAATCAGACAGGTAGATAACCAGACAGGTAGATAATCAGACAGGTAGATAACCAGACAGGTAGATAATCAGACAGGTAGATAACCAGACAGGTAGATAATCAGACAGGTAGATAATGAGAAAGGTAGCCATGTTTGGTGAAACCCAAAAGCAGCACATCAGTGCCTCGTACCCACTGTGAGCACAGATGGTCTGTGCTTGTTTGCAGCCACAGAACCTGGAACCTTGCAGTCATTTACTCCATCATGACCTGACTGTTGAGAGACATGTAAGACCATATGTCCAGCAGCAGCTGAATCTTGGACCAAAGTGGGTCATGATCTGGACAACGATCTCAACCACAGACAGGAATCCTGTACATCTACTTCTTGATGACTCAGCTGCAGAGGACTGGATTTGTTGGGGAAACACTGATCATAAGGACCATCAAATGGATTATTAGCAACCATGACTGATTTGTAGCACAGCAGACTGATGACATCACATCTTTTTCAACCAATCACAAAGCTTCCAGTGCTTTACCAGCTCAGCACATAATCCATCTGCCAGTATAAACCCTCAGAGGAGTGTGAAAGCTGCTCTTCATCTTTTCTGCTTCACTTTAACTCCTTGTGTCTTGTTTAGCCTTTGAACTTTCTTTTTAATAAATTCAGGGCAGCTTCACAGTTGAACTCATCCAGGAGACAAAACTTGTAAAAGGAACCGGTGCTTTTCATTCACGCTGAGACAACTGCAGGGTCTCACCTGCACGCCTGCAGACTGCGCAGGTGAGAACAGAAACGGGTTCTGTGCAGTTTGTGTGTTTTATGTAGAAACAGCACCTTCTGACTGGACTGCTCTCAGGAGAATATACGAGCCCAAGCTAAAGTTTGGTTTTAGTTTTGCAGATTAATAAAGTTTAAACTAATTTAGCATAAGAGAGCAATAAAATTCTGTTGACATGTGCATAATATTAAAATGTGATTGTCATGTTGTTTCTCTTTTTTTTTTTTTTTTTTACAAAAAAATAGAAAACCATGTAATTATAAAACTTTTTCTGACCCTTTCAATATATTTGACCTGATTTCAGTTTGTGCTGTATTTTTTCAGTCCTAGTGTTTAATCAGTGTCCCTGTAGTTTCACACATCACCATCTTTATTTGACCACAAGTCTTTCTCTTTATTCCCAAAACATAAAGTGCATGATATTTTGAAGGACCACAATCATGCAACTCCTGCTAAAACATATTTGACACGTGCAAATATAAGAAATGTAAGAAATGTGTATACTTGTGTACATGCACGCACAACTACTATAATCCTTAAATGCCCTTCTTTTAAGTATTTTTAAAGTGCACTTAATTTATTGGGTAGAGAGAATGTGATCAGTAGTGATGACGTTTCATAAGAAGTTTGAAAATCCTTCATAAAGGTGACATCATTTAAAAGAGACATTTAGCCTGGGGACAAAGACACAGTGACAGATGGAAAAACAACTCACACTGTGTGTCTCCTTCTCTTTAGGAAACTAAAATAGTTTTGTTAAATGGTGATTATTATTATATTGTTGTGTTGTATAATAGTATTTGTGTTTAGCTTGTTTACAGTTTATTTGGGATTTTTCCCACAGATTAGACATTATATGAGATGATTAATATATTTTCTAAAAATTCAAACATAAAGTTATCATTTCTATGCTTTATTTACAAATTAAAGCAGATGGTTTTTATCTGCACCTCAAACTCCAGGCCTGCCTTAAAGACGTGAAGAACTGGACATCCTCCGTTAGTCTCTGGTTGAACTCAGATCAAAGTTCTGTCGTTGTTTTTGGTTCTGCCGGGCCACTGAACAGAACGTCATTCTTCATGGAAATACAGTAACTTCTGGCACCTCTGTCAAAAACCTTGGATTGATCTGTCGTGGCTGGCTACCACGTCGTGTTCAAAACAGCTGAGACGTCGCCCTCGGTATAAAAGATTTATTTGACAAAACATGGGTTACAGATATTCAGAGACAAACAATTACATTAATAAGATATATGCATATAAATGGAGCATTAAGGAACGAACCGTCTCGGTGTGCGCCTCCCGGAAATTCTCGGTGGGCGTGTGTCATTTCCGGCCTTTTATCACAGTTTGAGAAGGCTAGCTTTCTGATTGGTTTAGCTTCTGTTGCTATGGTTACGACTCTAGTCCGCCCCCTCAAGGACGTTAATATCTACATTTCAGATAAGAAGTTTTGCTTCACTGAAATCGTTCGTTTTAGCTGTTTGTTTAACGTGATTATACCTTAGTGATACCAAATGATTTGAGTTAAAGTTGTTTATTTCTAGGAATAATTAATAACTATTAATTGTTATCTAACTCATGTTTGCGTGTTCTTACTTGATACTTTTTATACGTCTGTTTTAGTTTAGTTGCTTTGGTTGGATTTTACTTAGTCAAACTATATTAAGTCTAAATTAAAGAGATGTGTTCAAGCTTTATTTATGTTAATCAGTCTGCTATCTGGCATGATTTGATTGCTTGTAAAATATCAAATGTGAACTTGTAAAATTATCCTTAGCTAATATGAGATTATATTTAAAGGTCAACTAGTTAGAATTAGCAAACATTTTCTATAAATATAGTTCAACCCTGGAAGAAAGACACACACACTTTGTATAAC